AATCACCAAAAAAAAATCCTAAGGAATCATGGTGGTTCACCAAAAATGTGCCTGTACATGCAAACAAATATACGGTAAACAGTTCTGTATATCAATTCTTTGCTGATTGCAGTGCAAAGCAAGTCGAGAGGTTCAAGAGGATGAGGGCCTGGCCCTGGTGGACGCGGACAGAAACCAGAGAGTTGGACAGCGGCGGCCCATCATGACCCATTTTCATTGTATCAATTGATTTTGCTCAAACTATGATACAGTACATTCATGGCACACCCGAATAATTTACTCAAAGTTGAAGAAAGTTTAAAATGTGTAAGCCTTTGGTTTGCTTGATCAGTCTGCTTTATTTGTCCATAAATAACTGCAATTCGTTTTTACTCAACACCATTTAGTGTCACAATCAAATTTGGAATTTTTGTCCGGGAACAGACATCTCTTGTCCAAATTTTGGTTTGTTAACTGATGGATTATTCTTTTGAGGACATGAGTTATTTTATTGAGTACTTTGTTAACTCTTGAGTTGCAAAGTTGTACTTTCTCCACAAAATTTGCTGACTGCATGCTCACCGGTCAGACGTATTTAAAAGAAAAAAGGACAGTACTTGAAGGGGAAAAGATTGAAAAAATCCTGGAGCTTTTTTTATTTTTGTTGCAGCACAGAAAAAAAAAACTCAGAAGTAAAAATGCATACCAGAGGCTGAACTTTCCTTTTCCCCCTGTCTAGATCAATACCATTATAGCCTGCTTCCTTATCTTTTCATTTTTAGAACCCTTCCGTCAGAAGGGTTCCTATTTAGAGGCCAAGAAATATTACAGGATAAAGTCCAACTTCCAGAAATCTGAAGATCACATTGTTTCCTGGAAAAAGTCCAAGGTTGCCTTGGCCCAACTGTTTGGGTTGTAAAGGCCTTCTATGAAAATGAAATGCAGGCTCACCTGAGGAAGTCCTGACTCATAGGTCACAGTCCTGCAATTTGAAAGAACCCTTTCCCACAGAAGGTTCAACCAAAGGGGTTTTCAACCAAGTGTCCATGGTATGAGTAATACACTTCCAACAGCTATACTGTATACAGTACATCATACACTGCACTCCACTTCTTTTTGCTTGTATGTTTTTGTCATTATTTTCCTCCCTTTCCCTCTCTCTAGCTTGCATACTTCTGACATCAGCTGGGTGTTTATGATTGGTGTTAGTACGTACTTTATGCAAATGACCAGTGTGCGTGTTTTTGTTCTGGGAGGAGGGATAAATCAACTGAGCATGTCTCTCATCAATCCCTTCATGGAGTATTTCGTGCATTCCCAGTGAATTTTTGGTTCTTCCCTGGCAACTGGTAATGATTATGCTCCTGATGGATGCTAGCCCTTCTGCGGCTAAGTCGGACTTTTTTTGCAGATTTTTGTGGCACTCCAGAGTGGAATTAAAAAAACCCCAACAGTGTGTGCAGGGCGAAGTCGGGAAAAATCCTGGCATTTTTTTTAATTTTCCACAGAAAAATTTTGGTCCTAGGAATGGTTTCCTCCTATATTATCCCACATTGTTCAACCCCAAAGGATTAAACCGTCTGGTCCTCCGCCAGGATGCTGGGAGGGGGTCCGTTTTTGCTCCGTTCATTCTCTAATCGCCAGGTGCATTGGTAATCACCCTGTGTTTTTGGGACCTCTCATTTACTTCTGTTATAATGTACTCCTCAACATTTTTGTATAGCATGTTTCTACAGCCCCCTGCCCCCTGGACTGTAATAATTTTTTCATCATCCACTTTCAATTCCATGCCATTTATTACAAGTACAAAACATTAAAAATATACAAAAGGAACACCAATAATTCAAGTATTTTTCATGTACAATACAAACCGAAGTCCAAAGTTCAATACAAAAGGCATATATAGAAGGTTCACAAGTAGAATATGGAAATGTTCTAATTTTCCTCGTCATCAAGAGTTCATCCGAATTATATTCATCAAATGTTGGAACCAGGGCAAGGTCAAGGCAATTTTTTTTACACCAATCAAAGCAGATGTGTGCCAAAGATATTTTCTCACGGTTTTTGGATAAATAACCATACCAACTTGGATACTTCTGAAGAAAGGGTATTTAGTATTCCTTATACAGTATACCTGAGACTTGGAGGAAAGTTATGGTCCCCCTTTCAGAAATGACCTTTTACTTTCTGCACAATTTTTGGGGTATCAGCCCATGGCACCTGACGCCAGTTTCCTGAGGCCGGTGCCCAAATCCCTTTTCTTCTGGAACGGTCCAACCAGCTTAATCCCTCTACTGACCACATGGAAAATAAGCTAGGAGGAAACCATTCCAGACACCAAAAATTTCACCTAAAAATGAAAAAATGAAAGCTTCAAGGCTCCCTTTTTTCCCCTGGCCTTGTGCTGTTGCCCCATTCAAAGATTAAATTTAAGCTTGGAAGCCAGGAGCCCAGGTTGGAGGTCAATACAGAAAAAGTCCAACTCAGGACTTTCCCAGCATTTCATTATCCCCAGAAAAAATCCGACTTCGCCCTCCCCCACCAGGCGGGGGTTGCATAACCTTGTGGAAAAATATAATGCACACCCATCAGGAAAAAGTCCGACTTTGCCCTGGGATGGAAAGGAGGCTGTTGCCGTCCAAGGGTTAATAGTCCTATAATATGGGTATGATGATGTTCGGCTAAGTCGCATGCTTAAATAAGTGACCCATACAGAAAGCAAGAGAATCACTTGCGCCACATATGAAAACTGTTCATTTGTACTTTGTGTTGAAAGCAAGATATTTTGACATCCTCTTTACAATGATAAAAAAATGTGAAAAAAGGAAGAAGGGACCAAGGTTGGCTTGAGACCTTGTAAAGACGGCCATTTATACATGGACAAATGAGTTTCATCCAAAGACCCTTTTCTCACAATAATTCATCCAGCTGGTGGAAGGTTGCCTGATTTTGTTTTCTGTCAGTGATAGAAAGAAAAATACATCTGGACCTCAACTTCTGTTTTTTTTCCTCAAGACTTGAAAAAGGAAAATGAAGAGAGGAGGATGAGGAAATCCTTTTATCATTTTTGACTGTGAATCTGAGGAGAATAGATTCATATCTGCCTGTTCAATAATATATCCCTGTTTTGTTACCCCCAGCTGAAAACAAGGAATTGTGTTGAGATTTACTTGCTACATCCCTATAGCTCCAGTTATTGGGGATAATATCTTCAACAGTTAACGGAAGATTTGGAACCACCATTTGTCCTGTCACATTTTGTGGCACTAAATCAGGGGCTTTTCAAGGGATTGAGTTGAGGGTTTGTAATATAGAAATAATAAGCTTATTTACAAAACTTCGAAGCCACTGAATATGTTTTACAGAGAGAAAACCCGGCAAATAATTTGTTACAGGTATTGCTGCGCATAACAGTTATGCATTAAAAAATGCGTTCGTTATGCATCACTATTATGCCCAGCTTCTTCTGAAATGCCTTTCTTTTTTTTTCTTTGTTGCTGTACTGAAAGTTTTTTCTGAGATGCGTTCAGAATGGGTTTTGAATGCATTCTGTAGTTACACCTATACTTTAAACATTTTTGATGAGCTTTTCTTGAGTGTAGCAGGCAGGCGTTTCAAAACGCCTGCCTGTTACACTCAAGAATTTATATTTTTTCAGATTTTCCTGGGTGTAACATGGAGCATTTTGAAACGCTCTGTGTTACAACCAGGGAAAATCTGAAATAAACAGTTTTTAGCATTGTAACAGAAAGGCATTTTAAAACGCCTGCTTGTTACAACCAAGGGAAATCTGTAGAAATCAGTTTTTTGGGATTGTAACAGATAGGCATTTCAAAATGCCTGTCTGTTACAGTGCCAAAAACTGTTCATTACAGCTTTTCCTTCTTTGTAGCATGGAGTATTTTGTAACACCAGCCTGTTACATTCTTTAAAGTTATTCTTTATTTTTAACAGTATTTTTAACATCAAAATTTATATTTTGTGGTTTTGTATTTTTGCAACAAACTGATGCAACAAACAGAAAAATCTGCAACATTGTGTTTGTTGCATCAGTTTGTCGCACCAGTTTGTTGCAGCGCGGATCTGGACCCCTAGATCTGCACTGCGATACTGGTGGTAGCTTACTCTGTTGCCAGTATTATACTGGCAACAGACATGTCTGTCACCAGTATAATACTGGCGACAGAGTAGGCTACCGCCAGTATAATACTGGCGACAGAGTACTCAATACATGTTTGTCACCAGTATAATACTGGCGACAGAGTACTCAATACATGTTTGTTGCCAGTATAATACTGGCGACAGGGTACTCAATACATGTTTGTCGCCAGTATTATACTGCCAACAGACATCTCTGTCGCCAGTATAATACTGGCGACAGAGTAAGCTAAGCCAGTATAATACTGGCGACAGAGTACTCAATACATGTTTGTTGCCAGTATAATACTGGCGACAGAGTACTCAATACATGTTTGTTGCCAGTATAATACTGGCGACAGAGTACTCAATACATGTTTGTCGCCAGTATTATACTGGCGACAGACATCTCTGTCACCAGTATAATACTGGCGACAGAGTAAGCTACCGCCAGTATAATACTGGCAGTAGGGTACTCAACCCTACCGCCAGTATTATACTGGCGTTCTCTGTCACCAGTTCTCTGTCACCAGTATAATACTGGCAGTAGGGTTGAGTACCCTACCGCCAGTATTATACTGGCAACAGACATGTCTGTTGCCAGTATTAGATGCCCTGGTATTATTACTGAGTTATTATCACATCAGTAATAATACCAAGGTATGGTGGTGCAGTTGATATGACTTTGGGCTCAGGAATATCACCTCAGTAATAATACCAAGGTATGGTGGTGCAGTTGATATGACTTTGGGCTCAGGAATGTTTGTCTGAAGTTCGAATCCCAAGAGGGGCAGTTTATTATTCATTTATTATTTCCCTGTCAGTGTGAGTGTGTGTGTGTGGGTGTGTGTGTGTTTGTGTGTATAGTGTGTGCATTGTGCATGATGAGCCCAGTCTGTCTTGGTGAGAATATTTTTTTGTGGGTTTCTTTGTAACAATTTCCTGTTGAAAAATGCGTATCATACGCATTTCTGCATTATAATCAATCCTATCCAGGCATAACTTGAGTTACGCCTGGATAAATACCTAGCTGTAACTAGAGGGCGTTTTGAAATGCCTATAAGGTATGCATTAACTAAAATCCCGAGTAGGCGTAACATAGAGAGGTTTGAAATGCGTAGCATTTTTGGCTAGAAATGCGTATAAAATGCATTTTGAAATGCCCAAATTATTTGCTGGGAACTGCAAGAAACTATTTCATGCTGGCAGGAACATAGTATTTTTACTGCATTTTATATATTGATTCAGACAGAATGCATCAGACTTTTGAGCAAATAATTTCTAGTTAAAGATCAGAGCTGTTTTTTAAGATTGTGGGAACATTTGAAACTTAACATGATGGGGGTGTAAACAATGTTTTGACAAAAGTTCCTTCTTTTTCAATCAAGGAAGCTGCCATGCAAAAAAATATTTTTCGACAATGTAAATTTGAGACTGCAATTTTCACAGTTATCCTGAATTGTTTGTAAGAGAATGTAATACCCAGTTATAATTATTATAACTCAATATCTTGAAAGAGGACTTGACTAATTCAATAATTGGCAAGTTTTCTAAATCTGTCAAACATATTTTGAGAATCTGAAAGTTAGAAACAATTGGGATCTCAGGTGAAAACCTGCTAGAGGGAGATGTGTGCCAGGAAACGTTGTGGCCCCATGGGAGGGTGAATCTATTGAGGGTTGACTGTAGTTTTTTTCTGCTAGTGGGATTCTATTTTCCTTGAACAGATTACCTTTTCCTTTTCTGCATCCTGTTATTGTGCCTCTGACTATTACTGCTGCTATACTGTGCATGTATATGCCAGCAAGATTTTTTCCCACAGCTTTAGTTCTAGATCATCTTACGTTCCAATCACTCAGAGTGAAAAAAGATGGATTTTTTATGGGTTTTTCTTGCTTTCCAAGCATGGATTGTGGCAGCAAGGAATGGTTTTGCTGCTACTGCTGGGAAACCTTTGCTGGCAATGATGGGTGCGTTTTTTTTTAATATGTCTTTCCTTCAAGTAGATGTAAAATTCAACAATGAATTTAGTGCCAAGCCCACGTTATGCCACTAATTTCCCTGGAACATATTTCACTCCATTGTGTTCTCAATGGGAACCCCTGATTTAGCGCTGATAATTCAATCAATGCCATGAAAATTCCCTGCACCAAAGGAAAACTGTCAAGATCATAGAAATTAAGGCAGATGAATAATTCAAAAGAATTGAGGCTTCTACTGAGGATATCATGAATAGTTTATTTCTGAGAGTCACATGTCCTGTTGAGGATAATTTTGAAGATTCTATTTCTGAATTTGCATGTCTTTTAGTGGAATTTATTTTTACATTTTCTGCTAGAAAAAGCATCTCAGTAACTGGAATAGTCTTTGAACACTGAGAATACTGGAACTCCACCTGATCTTAGAACTGTGTTCTTTTTTGGAAGGTTGATACAAAACCACAGGAAACCTTTCCACTCTTACACTTAACCCAAAATGCCAAAGAATCTAAAGCATTGAAATCCTACGATTTGAACATAATTGGTGCTTGGACCTTGTCCCTATATCTCAGAACATCCACATTTCAGAAGTCATTCGCCCATTCAGTTCAATGGGGACATATTTAATTGGTTTAGCTGTTCATAAAATAATCAGGAGAGTAGTCCCCAAACATTTGAATTGAACCTTTTCTGAAGTTCAAAATACAAAAGTGAATGCTTAAAAGAGAACCACACAGAATCCTATCTTTTGGCATCAGATGGAACTAAACAAACAAAGAACAAGAATCAGGTATTGGGCAAACATGATTGAAAATCTCTGAAAAAAAAGAAGTGAAAAATAGCCTGGTTTTTATTACTGAATAAGGTAATTTTAAATCGACATTTACTCTTAATATTTGTTAATTTGAATAGTTCCATTCCTTGAAAAGATAACCAAATGTTGAAAAAAATAAAGTTTTCAATTTTCAAGAAACGTTGGAAAAGTATCTGTATTCCAATATGTCACTGTGTATAGGGACAGTTTTTTTTTTCATTTCTACTACTCCTCAAGTAAAATTTCCCAAATGTTTTCCAAAATGGGTTCCCACTGCATTTTTGATATTGTATAAATTTCAAATATGGTAAAAATTTCCTTTGAGCCTGGCATTATTCTCTGTGGCTCTTTCTCTTATGAAGCAGTATCACACGGCCTAAACATTTTGCAAAGAAGCCTATTAAAAACCTACATAGTTGAACAGAAAAAATGAACGTTAATTTAAAAAATTGTTGCACCAGAATTTTGTGCATTGGAATTATACTGTGCTTCAAATATGCAATATTATGTCTTTTGCAAGTAAATGAAAGACTAATGGTGAAAATAAATCCTTACTTCTAAGGTAAACATCTGTTGACGAACTTAAGAATAAGTTTAAGGTCTGCAATAACACCATTTACAATACTGTATATGATAATCCTCATTTCTTTCAGTACCCAACCAGATTCATATTTCCCTGACTCAGTACCTTTGGAAGCCAAATTTGTCTGCTAGTCCTTTGAATTTCAGCTTAAAATATGTTCAACTGTTTTGCGTGAATTGAATCAAAATCATATCATAGAAATTTCTATCAATCCTACAATCATTTCTAGTGACTTACTATGTTATTGAATAGAGTTTGAATTGATACATATGGCTGAATAGTTCTTCAAACCATCTTATTCATTCACCTATAATTTAGAAGTTTTCAAATAAATTTTCCTCCAATGCACTTTCCTCCATTTATGTGGTGGCAGAAAATATTCCAAGACAAGATGGGGATTGACTGTTGTAGTCCCTACATTTTACGAAATGATCATGAGAGGGATGCTCATTGTCCTGTGTCGTGAGTGACTCATGTGTATATGCATTAATAAAGATGAGGAAAACAGCGAGGGTATGATGTCGATGACGACACCGCCGACAATGGCATCCAGCAGCAGCAGCAACAGCAGGGATGGTCTGCCATGGGCAGCACCCGTCGCCATGCCAGCCATGGGCGGGGTCAGCAGAAGAGACTTCCTCAAGGTTCGACGCCTCCGTCGCCAGCAGGTGGAGCCACAGGAGTACACGGTGTGTTCCCGATACCCGACGACGCCGTCGAGACCTACTACGACAAGGCCTCCATCAGCTGCTGCTCCTAATCCTCCATCAGCTGCTGCTCCTAATCCTCATGCCATCTTCCGGATGAACCCTACTGTCGATGATGACCCCAATTTGGTCATGGCCAACTTTCGACATCTTACGCCGGCGGGGCGAGAGAACATGGACACCACAACACCTATTGCTCCTGTATCTTCTGACAACATGCATGTAAGCTGATGGGTTATCCTTGGGCTCTTTTTTCTTTTTATCCCGGTCGTTAGTCCTGGCGGTTATTATCCGATTCATCCTGGTTATTTGAGACATCCTGTTTTTGAAGATCTGCGAGAGGAAAATAAGAATTAAATGTACGTCAGCAGTCCAGGAAAAGTCAGAAATCTTCCATTGGGGGATGAAGTTGGTAACTGTTTCGTGTTTTACAGCAATATACATTTCATGCTCAAGTGGGTTGAAGATACATTTCAGCCTTGCAACCAAAACCTTAAAAAATGTTTTTAAAGCATAACTAATTTTTTCTTTTAACCTCTAGTCCTGGATATGGCAGAAAGCCCACGGAGTATATGTAAAGATAATCTCCTTATATAGCAAACTTCCTAATTCCAGCATAACCACCTTCCCGAGGAATGTTTGATAGATTCACTGGGTAGGAGTTTTCTGAATATGCAAAACAGACACAGCCTGAACTTTCTAATCCCAAATGTGACAGACTGCTGCTTCTCACTTCATTAACCCTTCTGCGGCTAAGTCGGACTTTTTTCGCAGATTTTTGTGGCACTCCAGAGTGGAATTTAGAAAACCCCCAAGAGTGTGTGCAGGGCAAAGTCAGGAAAAATCCTGGCATTTTTTTAATTTTCCACCAAAAAATTTCACCTGAAAATGAAAAAATGAAAGCTTCAAGGCTCCCTTTTTTTCCCTGACATTGTGTTGTTTCCCCATTCAAAGATTAAATTTAAGCTTGAAAGCCGGGAGCCCAGGTTGGAGGTCAATACGGAAAAAGTCCAACTCAGGACTTTCCCAGCATTTCATTATCCCTGGAAAAAAATCCGACTTTGCCCTCCCTCACCTGGCAGGGATTGCATAACCTTGTGCAAAAATATAATGCACCCCCATCATGAAAAAGTCCGACTTTGACCTGGGATGGAAAGGAGGCTGCCGCTGTCCAAGGGTTAAAGGACAAACATGCTTCCAAGAGGTTCCACACATTCTCCTCCAAGAATGAAGAGATTTGTGCAACTGTTGGAATGCATGGTTTAGGCTAATTTTCAAAATATTGCTGAAAAGTCCAAAAATGCCAGATAAAAAAGGTCTAATTGACTTGATAAGCAGATCTAATGTTAAATTTTTGTTCTGCAAAAAACTTGTGTTGAAAAATACACAAAAGGACATGTTTCTTGGAAATCCTTTAGCTACATTTTAGAATGCATGCCTTTCTTTAGTCATTAAATCGTAAAAGCTAGTTAAATGAAATTATTCAGAATAATGAACGCATTCTTTCCCCCTATAAATCGTTGCATCAAGATTTTTTGGTATAGTGTATGTAAAATAACAAGGAAGTCTCACACTAAAAAACTGATTCCAAATTAAAACAATATGCATGCAGTATACAGAAGACATCAAAATTATTTTCAACTCTCCCATGCACACCAGTGGCATATATATGACTTGTCGAAAAGCATAGTATAGTACAGTATATACAGTAATGTTCGTGTGCATGTTAAATGTGTTATTATCTTTTCAGAAAAGACCAATCGTTTTCCCTATATTTTGGGTAATGCAAAGAACAAGAAAAAATCACATTCTTAGCTAGCCTGACAAAGTTTCCAGAGCCTTGTAGCATGAGTGGAGAACTCTGATGCCTATGACTATAGAAAATGTTGCCCTATTATAATGCAGTGAAGTTTGAAAACGTTTTAAAAAATTTGGGGGAAAAAACTTTGAACATCATGGGCTATATGTCATGATTTCATTACACAGTACGATCACACCTACTCTAAAAATACCAGAGGCCGCGTCCAACTGGGACAACCCCTATAAACTTGACAGGATTTTTTTCAGGGTGAACATCATGCCTCGGATGCGCTGATGCGCAGTTTCGAGAAATTCATGCGACCGCAAATCGAAGGAACACGATTCCAAGACAAGGGTATTGACACAGACAACAAAAACTCCGTCAACGAGATGAGCAATGATGAAAAAGAAGCGTATGATGGCCACAGGCAGTGGAGATTTTCAGTGTTGAGAAGTGACCATGCTCCTGCTGCTGCTGATGGAGAACAAGCTGCTGCATCAACTTCTTCATCTTCCGCATCGTCGTCAAAAGTCGTGTCATCCACCAGAAATAATTCGAAGAACAACAAGTTCATCATGTACAAACTGCTCAAGAAGGTGAGTTTCTGCACACTCGCACGGAACTCGGCGAAAAAAATGACAAATGATCAGCAGCATCAACAACAACAAAAGGCTGGTACTCATACTGATGCTGACAAAGACACTTTGGCCTTGGACAATGAGACAGCGACGACGACGTCGACGGCAGAAACAAAAACGAATAATAGGCAAGAGGTTCATCATCATCATCATCATCACCAGCCACAGGGTGGCAGCAGCAGTAACAGGGCCTTGGAGGACGCCATCATCAGTGCACTGATGCCCCCGGATGTGCAAAGGGACTTGGCGGCAGCCGACGCTGCAATGGGTGAACATCATGCACTGCCTTCCGCCAAGGTCCGAAACGAAAAAGAGGACTCAAAGAGCCAAGTTTTGGCAAAAAATTGATGGATTCCTTACTATATATTCGAAAGTCCGCGCTGCAAAGTCAGCAAACAGCTAGAAATAAATGTCTGCCAAAGTCCAAACGTAGGATTCCAGTCTTTGAGTGATTGATTTTGAAGAGGAACTTCCACTTCAATGAAAATAATGCTGCTTTTTATTGGGTCTGAATTCTTGAGAAAGGTCACTCCTAGGAATGAGGGGACCTCCTTTACTATTATAGTATACAGTGGTACCTTGCACTATGAACGTAATCCATTCCAGAGAAACGTTCTTAGTACGAAACGTTCTTACTGCGAATCATGATTTCCCGTAGACTTGTATGGGAAATTGTTTAATCCATTCCAGAAAATTTGAAAAATTCGAATTTTTTTTTTTTAAAAAGGGGAAAAAATTGTTCACTGTCTTAAACAGTAGTTTTATACAGTGACAGGATTAAAAGGATAAATTGAGGCTTTAATTTAAATGTTAAGGAGAGTAAATTGCAAGTTTCAAAAATGTTTTCAAGGGGGTTATGCTAACAGCAAAAATTCTTTGAAAATGGATTTTGCCTTGAGCACAACCCCTGCAACTCAAATTTTATTCTTGAGGTTTGAAAAACAAA